GAAAGCTGCAGAAATCAATCACAGACAAGCCCAAAGAGAGGCCATGTGGGCTGCAACCAGAAAAGCCATAGGGTGGAGCTACACAAACCCTGAGAGAGAACATCAGGATGCCATGTGACCCAGATGCTGGATCTGGATGTGCAGCTACAGGACTTGCTTGCCCAGCGGGATTTTGGTCCTGCTTTGGTTCCATCCTTTTTCTATGCCCCTATATATTCCTTTTGGAGCGGAAATGTTACTCTGTACCTTTATATATTGGATATATATAACTTGCAATTATAAGGCGGAGAAAACAAAGCTTAAGGTTTTTTAAAACTTACAGTTTGGCAAGAAAACTTTGAATAAAACTGGGGCTAAGGAAAACATGGGTTTTTACATGGGTTCATGCTAAGAATTTGCCTTGAGTCTCAGAGGAGACTTTGGACTTGTACTTTTGGGAAATCCTGGAACTGTTGAGACTATGGGGACTCTTGGAAATAAACTAAACATATTTTGCATTGTGAGATGGGCATGAGCTTTTGGGGGGGCCAAGGGCAGGATGTTATGGTTTAGATGTGAGGTGTCCCCCAAAAGCCCATGTATGAGACAATATAAGAAGGTCTAGAGGTGAATGATTGGGTTATGAGAGCTTTAACATAATGTGTGCATCAGTTCCCTGATAAAAATTAACTGAGTTGAAAGTGAAAGCAGGTAGAGGGTGGCTGGAGAAGGTTGGTCATTGGGAGTTGTGGGTACATATTTTCCCTGGTGAGTGGAGTCTTGCTCTGCTTCTTCATGGCCATGTCCTGACCTGCTTTCCTCCACCACTCTTCTGCCACGATATTCTGCTTCACCTAGGGCCCAGAGAAATGGAGCCAGTTGTCTATGGACTAAGACCTCTGAAAACTGTGAGCCTCCAAATAAACTTATCTCCTCTAAAATTGGAGATAATTTTGTTCACAGCTGCAAAAAAGCTGACTACAACAGAGGTGTTCAGGTCATTGTGTACTAAGGCCATTATCTCTTGCTGGCTTTAGGCCCCTCTGTCTTGCTTGTACTCATTGCCTTTCTGCCTTCCACCATGCAATAACTCTCCCCACATATCAATGCCATGCTGTTGGACTTCCAGCCTCCAGGACCATGAGCCAAATATACTGCTATTGTTTATAAATTACCCACCTGGTGGTATTCTGTTATAGAAGCCCCAAACAGACAGAAGAACTGACCTCTTACACCTGTTGAGTATTTACTAGGTTATGACACACTTCCTTATATGGTCTTCTTTCATCCTTAGAAGCAGCCCAAGGGAAACTAGGTGAGGCAGCCTGGGCTTTGCTTTTCTTACACAAGGGAGGGATTGGAGCCCAGAGATGCTCAGAGACCCTCAAAGCCAACTGAAGTTCCAGTTCTCAAAGCAGTATCCAGGCAACAGGAGTCTTCCACCACAAGTTCTCAGAAAGAGTTGAGATGTGAGTCTGAATCCCCAGGGAGTATTTCCAAGACACATACTTATTCTGTATATAAAATTCCTCTTCTTTTTTTAAAAAAATATTTTAAAGTTGTCAATGGACCTTTATTTATTTATTTATTTATATGTGGTTCTGAGAATCAAACCCAGTGTCTCACACGTGCTAGCCAAGTGTTCTACCAGTGAGCCACAATCCCAGCCCCAATATTTCCCTTCTTTTGACAGCTTTTCATAAACATTCTATATTTTAACCCAATTGTATGCCCAGTACTGAGATACCCACGGAGAGCCAGAGACCCTAACCCTAAACTCTGGCCTCCAGAAACCTAATATTTAGAGATAGAGATACATATACAAAGAACTTGATGCACCTTATTACAGGAGCACTGTCCGATGTGGGAGCTTCTTGATGTGCAATTGTGAACAAATAAATAGTGAATCAGTGGAAACAGAAGTTTAGAGAGGAAGAGATGACTCTATCTAGGGCCACCAGGGAAGGCTTCTCATCATAGTTCGGGTTGGACGATTTACAGTGTGATCACTCAATGTGTGTGAAATGCCTTATAATGTTTTACTCCTCCTGTTACAGCTATTTCACATCTAGGAATTTATCCTTGGGGATATGTCAGAAGGAAAAAAAAGGAGAGAGAGAGAGATTTATGTTCCACATGTTTATTACAGGGTAATTGAGAATAGTGAAAAAGTAGAAGCAATCTTAAGGTCCAGTAGCAGGGAACAGCAGCACATAAATGGCATTCAGTCTACGTGACAGAATAGTCTGCAGCCACTGAAGTCATGTTGTCACAGCACGTGTTCTGACTGGAAAAATAATGTACATGGTGGGAATATTAAGAGGAAAATGAATCCAAAAGGGTCATATTTAGGATCATCCAAAATTTGTAAAAATATATGCACATGTGTGTGGGAGTCTACAAAGCAGTAACAGTGCTTCTCTCTTGTGTGAGATTAAAGGGAATTTTGATTCGCTACTTGCATTTTTTCTTTTCTTTTTTGTGGTACTGGGGATTGAACCAGGGTCTTGTGCATGCAAGGGAAGCACTCTACCAACTGAGTTATACTCCCAGGCTGTATTTGCATTTTTTCAAAGCTCAATTTAAGAGGAAAATAGGTTTCTCTCACTGGGTTGTCAGGAAACTTATGGGTCTGTGGGACTCGGTTTCTGGTGTGAAGTCTTTTAAATTTGTCTTCTGAGCATGCTCAAGGTGTGTCATGTACATATCTTGATCCTGAGACTCACTGAGGAGGGAAAGAGCATAAAGGATGGAACAAGCAAGGGCGATTTTAATATTTTTTTAATGAAGAACAATGGACACACTGTTACCTTGCATGCAGATGGCGACGGGGCACACTGCAGCAGCTTCCTCAGGTGGCAGCATGGTGGCTTCTAGGTCACCTCTCCTAGGCAGGTGACCAACTCTCATTCTCTCCCTCTTCCTCACCCTCTCAACCTCATGACTTAGAAGACTCTTCAGGAGGTGATGCCTAGCCAAAGGCCCAAATTGGAGGGCAAGGGGTGCGTGTTGGGGTTGGCAGGAGAAGCTGTCGGCCTGCATTGGGGGGCGCACGTTTGCTTGTTGGAGTTGGTTGCTGTATGCAGGCTGGGCCGAGCTCTTGAAGCCCAGAATTTGTTTATTCATCAGCCATCGGAAGTGTGTGGGACAGAGCAAGTGGTGCTCAGTAAAGATTTGTTAAACAATTGCTTTATAAATGTGGGTAGAATTCAAGTGCACAAATACTATGCCTTTTCATCTTTTGAAGAGGAATATGCTTTAGGAAACCTGAAGGCCAAGGCTGGTCACTAACTGGGGAGGCCAAAGAGCTGAGGATTTGGCCCTGGTTGGGGACCCTCTTCATTCCACCTGGGGATAGGCAAATGCAGACTCTGACCAGGTTTCTCTATTGCCTCCTCTTCCAAACTTGATTTCTTTATTTCATTTACTCACTTAGCTAATACCAGTTGAGCTGCTCCAGGCTCAGTTTTAGATGCTGGGATGTAGAAGAACAAGAGACATCTATGGTGCTAGGAGATACTAGCCACCATCAGGTCCATGTGCCAACACTCCAAGTGCTCTGCATAATTATAAGTAGAAATACCCTTCAACTAGAAAAGCCAATGGAAGCATTTTATACTGCAATAGGCCCAAATTGAGACACAGAGGCATTTCGTCTGTCTGGGTGCTGGAATAGCCTGACCGGCACCTAGATGAAGGTGTTGCTAGATGAAGGTGTCGCCTTGCTTTGTTTTTTATATCCTCCCAGTCCTAGGCAGACAGAAAGACCATGGAGAGGTTGATTGATGTCCCTGAGACAAAAGGATAGGATCAAAATGACTGAGAAAAATAAAACGTACTGTCAGTACAGTACGTTTGTTAATAATAATAATTATTATGATAATAATTTGAGAGAAAAATACACCTAAGACTATACATTTGGAGAATTTTCTTCCCCAATGAGAAGATACTTCTGATGACCACATGTATCCTCCTTCCAGCCCCCTCAGAGGCTCTGATGGGAGTTGAGGATGGGGTGGTATTACAGGCCTTGCCAGACCGGGGTGAACTGAAGGATGGAGGCTTTAGTGGGGGATTGGAAGGGAATTGGAAACAATTCCAAATGGGGCCCTTACGTTCTCTTCTCCGAGGAATTGATCTAGTAGGCAGCACCTCCACTAGTCTTCCACTTGAAGGCGTGTTTTCCCCCTAGGAAATCACAGCTTTTTAACTTAAGGTTTCTTTTCCTGTGATGTCAAGAAAGCCCAGGCAGGTCTTGTCAAGGGTTCAGGGAGTAGAAGGCAGGAAGCCTGGGTGATGTGCATGCCAGCGAGCTCCACAGAGCAGGAGACAAGGAGGGATTCAGAGCAGGGCCCTTGCAGGAAGCAAGAGGGTGTATTTGCTTTGGTGGGCACCTGGCCCTGTCTTTGGGACTGTGGTGCATTCAGCTGATTAGATGCATGTGGTACCAACATTGAGGAAGAAGCCTCAATATTGTTGAGGGAATAAGTCTACAGTGGAGGGGAAGAGGTGGTCTTTAGGGGCAGGGGGTACCTAGGGGACATTTGTCCAGTCCCAGTCTGGTTTGGCTTTCTTGCTTGAGTGTGCTTAGTTGCATTTGAGACAAATATCCATGTGAAAAGGGGCCCGTGTGTCCGGGACCAAACTCGCTGCAATGACTGCAAATGCCCTGAGTTTATGTGAATCCTAGAGACACTGGGTTAAGGACACAGGCCACTAAAAAAATAAATAAACACACAAAACGTACAACCTCAACACTAAGCTTCTCAACATTTTCTTGTGTGTTCAGCCCATGGCTGACTCTCTGGGAAGGACAATTCCAGGAGCTCTGTGTCTTAGCCACATCTCCACCCACTCGTGGCTGGTTTCCAAATATGTTAGAGGCCAGCCCCACAGGACTCACCCCAAGAAGTGCTGAGGGACCTGGGAGGCAGACCCAGGCCCAGGTGTTGTTATAATGAGAACACCCCACCCTGTGTACAGAAGGATAAACTGGAGAGAGAAGAATTCGTGACTCTGGGTAGAATAAAAGTGAACATTTAATGCCACCATAGTTTGTCTTTTAAACACCAGATTCTTTTTTGACAACATTTTACACCTCATATGCCACAAAAAGTCAGAGATCGTAGCCAGCAAACAATGTCTTCACACAGGAATGGCACACAGCTCAATGGATTCATGTCACCAGTTTGTGAGAACTATGTAACACTCTGTTCCAGACTGTTCTCCAGGTAGCCTGCTCATAGTTATCATGACCAAGCCAACAGCTAATTTTTATGTAGCTATATAAAGGCCCATACACAAAATCCAGCCTGCAAATAGGCTGCTGGGACCCGCCCAAGTACTGAATAATTTTCTGACCTTAACAAATGAGCTTTATTTTTCTAAAAAAATTAACAGCAAACACTTATGAGCTAAGAACTTAATTTTAAAAACAGCACCAATCTTCTATCCAAACAGTGAATTTCAAACAATGACATTCAATACCACCATTGACTTCAAATAAGAATTTTTTGAACATGTTTGTGAATTCACTGTTTCCGACACAATAAATGCACTTGGGCAGGCCTTGTCTCCAATCTTCAAATGGGTCCATTTCTACAGATAAGCATATTTATATATACATACATACATTACTAATCATGGAATCATAGAACCAGGGCTTGAAGGAACCACAAAGATCATGTAGCACAATGTCCTCATTTTACAAATTAGAAAACAGTTCCAGAGATGTTGATAAGGTGTACATAGATGGGACTATTGTGGAAACTGGAATCTGAAGTCAGGTTTTCTGTCCTGCGCTCTTCTGCCATGCCACATACCTTCTGCACACACGCATCTACATATGTACACACACAGCAGTACAGAGGACTGATGTGTGTTCCTGTCCACACACCTGGTGCAACACCATCTAACAGGAAGTCCTGGACTCATGTCCAGTTCTGCTATAAAACTGTTCTGTGAACTTGGGCCAATTGATGACCATTGACATCAGTTTCTTTATCTAGAAATGATTCTCCCCAGCTCCAAAAGAGAGCTTTAATTTCTTCAAAGCCCATCCCCCATCAGTTTTGCCACTGTTTTCCCTCTTTACACGATCCTAGAAGGACAGCTATGATGACCCCAACCTTTCACAGCAAAATGAAGCAACTCACCCAAGTTGCATAGCTAGTGATGAACCAGGCGTGGCCCCTGGTCACCTCCTCCTGGGGCTCCAGGCTTTCCTCCTAGTTTTAGTTGCCTCTTAAATGAAACTACTGGCCCCAGCCCTTCCCTGCCCCTCAGGGATCCAGCAAGGGACAAGATGCCTTAAATATTACGGGTTGTAAGACTCACTAAAGTGCTTTGGTTGCTCCAGAAAAAAACTGCTCTGATATATCCAAGGTGAGGACCTGTCGTTGCTTTCCCAGCCCCCTTCAGTAGTACTGCAGGTGGAATGGGGGTCTTGAGGAAATGTGGGAACTTAATACTGTCAGCACTTTTCTCAGGAATTTGATGTTGAACCAGTAAGAGAAGCTGAATCCTCTTCCACCCAGGCCTGTGGAAGCTGATTTCTAAGCTCATTATCATCCAAGTCAAAAGGAAGGATCCTTTCCCCTTTGGTTACTTACTATAGAAACAGCTGAGATTTTGAATTAAGCCCTGTACTCTGAGGACTGGACCCTAATCCCTGTTCTCTTGATTTATTTATCTCCCCCGATCCCCGCTCACGTCTCTGCTGACAGATTTTGCTAGGGAGAAAAGCAGAAAAACAAAAAACGAAAACAAAAGCACAAAAAAACCACATGGTCACAGACATATCCACCAGGCTTACATTTCAATGCCATAGCAAGGGAGACCATTTCCAACCATGATGCATAAAGAAATTCTAAAACACAAGCAGGGTTATAAAACAACATCCTGAGTTTACAAATAAATCATAACTCTTCATAAATTAGGTACGACAATGTGGGATGTTAGAGATGAAGACTCTGCTAGTTTTCTTTTTTAAATAGATTTTTTTCTTAGTTGTAGGTGGACGTTTATTTTACTTATATATGGTGCTAAGAATCAAACCAAGTGCCTCATACATGCTACGCAAACGCTCTACCACAGAGCTATGATCCCAGCCTGACTCTGCCAGTTTTGAAGGTAACTTCTGTGTGATACATAAAATAGATGTGTGAGCACCAGTATCTGTGTCACCTCTACACACAGGGAACAACTGTATTCAGAGAATATCAATAAGATGCAATGTTGATGTGATACTGCCTCAAGCACTAGTTTGTGTCCAATGTCATGACCATACCTCAGGTTCTGAGTAGGGCCACCCAAAAGCAGAATGTGCTTGTTTAGGGATGGGAGAATTCGCTCTTGGGATTTAAAATTTGAAAAAAAAACCCCACAAAAATCAAAATACATTTTGAGATGAGAAGCTTAAGTTTTAATAGCTTCTCCTGGATTGGAGTTCTGCTTTTATAATTGCAGAAATAAGAAACAGTTTTTGTTTTAGAAATATGTCATTTTGTCAGGAAGATTGCTAAGTGACACAATTTATAAGATTTAACCCGCAAATTGTGACACATTTTGGAGGATAAGAAAGAGATACTAAGATCCAAAGAATGTCGGCTGTATTCCCACCACATGGCCAAACCAATTTTAGACTGGCAGTTTCAGTGAAGCTGAATGCCTGGCTTTGTCACCTAGAGTAAAGCAGCCTGAACTGTTCTTTTTCTCCCTGCTTGGAAGTCTCACATGTGGTGGCCCTATAGAGTGTCCCTTGCATTGTGGAAAGCAGGGCCACACTGTCCAGGCAGAGGCAGTGAGCCCAGGAACAATGGAATGGAGTGGTTTAGATAGCAACAACTAATAGCACACAGGACTTCCAGCCTGTTTCTGACTGGCCTGGTTGCAGCGTTTAAGATATATATTGCCTTGAAAAGAGAAGAGATATTTTTGCATATGCTCAAAAAGTGGGCTAATAATGTTCCAGCAGGGAAGAACGACTAAATTCATGAATCTTATCCGATTTCGGAATGAATTAATCTCTAAATTTTTAGCTGAAATTCTTGTTGGAATAAAGAACCTAAAAACATTCATTACATCATTATTTTGGAAGGCTTGAGTATAGATCAGTAGTTACCAGTGACATCAGCAACTGTGTTTGCTTTGAACAAATTGTGGGCCCTTGCCAGACCTGCCTTCTATCCCAAAAAGTCAAGGTCAGGTGGATGATTTCAAATAGACACATCTGTGATGAAGGCTTGTGGATGAACCCAAATTAATGATGAGTGTTAGAATTTGAAGCCTAAAGAAGGTGGCTAGTTTATAAGGACACGAGATACATACCCAAGTGGGCACAAATTCCCTTCTCCTTCAACTCCAATCATGGAATGAAAATCTTTAGAGCAAGCACAAGACTTGGATGTGTGTATAAAAAGACTTTTTTTGGGAACTACCCCTGTGGATGGAATAAGTGTCTGTGATCAGACTTCCAGCTTTAGGCTACTTCATGACAAACTGGGCCAAATTCCTGCCTGCCAAATGCCCATTGTGTGTGTGTGTGTGTGTGTGTGTGTGTGTGTGTGTGTGAGCTAATGGGTCTTCTGTGCCCTGTTTTGATGAGTTACAAGTCAGGTTCTCTGATGCTCACAAGACTTCAGTTCCTATTTAGAACCTAGCTGAGCTCCTTTGGCTGTGTGTGTGTGTGTGTGTGTGTGTGTGTGTGTGTGTGTGTGAGATACATTTTTAAAAATCTCAGTCGGAGTCCCTTCCCTGCTTGGGATCCTTGTTTGAGTTCACAGACTCTTCTCTGCATTTGCATCTGAAGTTCCCCATGTTCAGAATAGTAACTGCAGATAAAACAACAGGGAAGTGTGCTGATTCAGATCTGGAAGAGATGAAAGTGAGAGACAGTTTCTCATGATGTCAAGAGGAATTCAAGGACAAGAAGATCAAAGGTTCCAGCTCTCAGGTCGGGATTTGAAAGCCCAGGATAAAGCAAACTATGGCTCCCTTGCAGCATAAAACACCATCCTGAAATGCAATGTGGATCTACTCCAGGGGAAATGATCTCTATTTCCCTTTCTTGAATCTCAGTTTTGTTTTGCTGGCAATGTTTCTACTTCACACTAAACTATTTGGAGCAGGAGTTGGTGGGATAAGTTTCAGACAAGGAATTGAGTAAGGTATATGCCTCTAAGTGTGACTTTCAAAGAGACATTTCATTTGTGTATAATGAAATAGAAATCAGTTCTCGGGTGTTCCCTTGGCCTTCTTGGGCTCTGTGTCACTAAAACCAAAAGGAGACCTGGAACCATCTCCCATCTGGACCCTAAATGACATCCTTTGGTTACTGGGGCTGCTTTGGATATAGCACCTTCTTTCTTATGCTCAAAGATCATCATCTGTATCGTCAATTCATAGAGCCAGGAATAAGCTCATCATAATGTCAAATGCATGACTTCTTCACATGGTTTATCAACTCTTGGCAAAATAAAATGTTTGCAGTTAAGTAAGTAAAATAAGACAAGAAATAAAGAAAAGAAAAAAAAAGAAAGAGAATGGACAACAATTCCCAGGCAGTTGTTCTCCTATACCATGGCCTGCGAGATCCTGGGGATGTTCCATGATGGGATCTCTTGGGAAGTCAATCTGACTTGGTAAGATCACTGTGGGTAATATCAACCTTTTGTTATATCATGAAGTTGTTAAAAATGTATATAAACACATTTAGGCAGGAAGCAAGCTGAAGGCCACTCCCTAGGAGAGAATTCACTGTTCTGCTTGGTCTCACTCCAGTGAAGGCACCAGGCTCTGTCAGTGACCTTCTAAAGGAAGTCACCGCAGCATGAGGACCTCAGGGCTAAGGGAGAATGTGGCAGTGGCAAAAGCCAAGCTCACTGATGACTTATCAGATGTATTTGTTCACAAACGAAAAACAAGGCATACTCACCTTTGAAAATTCCTCAAAGACAGGCTTTTCATGAAGTGGTGTATTTCAAACTAGCAACCCAAAGGGATACCAAAGGACAAACAAACCAACTCAAAGCACTGGCATCCCCTGGGGTCCATATGCTTCCAAGGAATGTTGTTGTTAAGCAATCCAATGTATGCAAGTACTGCGAGGCCAGAGATGGGCTCAGAGTCCCAGAACTCTGCAAAATGGGTTTGGGTTGAGGAGTTAGGGGAGGCTCTACTTCTAAGGTAACATACTTGTTTAACTTGTAGGATGCACAAAGAGGAAAATGACCTCTTTTACCAAATTTTAGTCCATTCAACTAGCATATTCAGGCAGATCTTGTGTGGGTACATTTGCATAGAAGCAGACTCTTTACAGAGTGTACAAAGCTGGACTCGTGACCCATGGAGTCAGTCCATGGGGCTGACTTCCAAAGCAAGAGAGCTAATGGGTCTTCTGTGCCCTGTTCTGATGAGTTACAAGTCAGGTGCTCTGATGCTCATAAGACTTCAGTTCCTGTTTAGAACCTAGCTGAGCCCCGCTGGCTGGTGAGACAGCTGGGCTGGGCTACCAACAAATGCAAAGGCTAATTTTCCATGGCGGGGAGCTTGGGCTGAGAAATTGGTTAGTGGGGACAACTAGCCTGGAAAGAGGCTCTGAAGCTCAGCTGCATTTGAGGGCAAAGATGAACAGTTCTCAGTACCTCAATGCCCTTGGCAGTTCTGTGCCTCAAGTTTTTGTCCCTAACACAGGTATACTAATCCTGAAGGGAACTTTTGCAATTTGAGAATGAGGTTTTGGGAGCCAAGACCTGGATATTCATATTCATTCAACTCTACTCTGCCTGTCCATAGTTATGGGATTTAGGGAGGAGGAACGTCTCTCTGCCTTTGGGTGCCAAGCTTTAGGAAACAAGCCTAGTCCCTAGGTGGTATGTATGTAGGCTTCGGGACAGGGAAGAACTGAACTTCTTGCTCTTGGGCAGGACTCTGGATAACAGAAAAGCTGTGTACTCCCTAGACTCCTTCTCGTTCTACACCAATGTGATTGGAGCACGTACCAGCAGAAGAAGCCTCTCAACTCAAAGTCACCACCCCTCTCCCCGGCCCCCAAACTGCCACTTCAATAAATCTACAAAACTCAAAAACAAACAAATATGGCTCTGCTGAATTGATTCAAGCTTTCGATCCAGAGTCTTTGGAATAGAAATGAGCATGAACTTGTTTTGAGGATCATAAAAACCCTGGATGGGTGGGGAAAGGATAAGGATGCGTGGCTGGATATGGAACAAACGCCTACCTACATGGAGAAGTCTGGCCCAGGTCACAAAGGACAACTTCTTCTCCCTTAGAGATGCAAGCCCTGTCTCCTCTCCTGATGGCTCAAGTTCACTCACGCTGCTCCACGATCAGCCGCCCTCTGGGTCTGCTGGCCGACCTGCTGCTCGTGGGAGGAGGCACTGAGCACCACCTGCCTTTCCAAAACTTTTTTTTTTTTTTTGGAAACACACATTTGCTTGTGTGGATGAAAGTCTCTCTGTTCTGTTCGAGTGGCCTTACCAGAATCATCATATAAGACAGTTAACATTTATTCGTATGCAATACTGGTTAGGAAATAGGTCTACAAACACAACTTACTTACAAACAGCAAGTCAGAAATAGGATAAAACACCAAGAGAAAAACGAGCCATGAGTACATTTCAAAAACGCGTGGGATTTTCTCTTCTGTGGGTTTTGTTGTTTGCGTCTTGACTAGCACCATCTGTACACGAGAAGAGTTGAACACAAATGTTTGGGTAATCATAAAGATTTGCAAGGCACTTAATCCGTCATCCTGGGTCATCTTGTCGTGGGTGTTTTGTTTTCGCTTTCCACAGCAATCCTCCGTCCACCCTCCCCCTCACGAAAGCACGACAAGAGAGAGGTCTCTTTGCCAGCAGTTCTTATGTACAAACAAGTTAAGTTCCTCAAAGTGCTTTTATTTCAGTCTCACGGGGCTCTGACGTCCCTTGGGCTTCCCATCATTCTCTCCTTCCACGTGTTCGGGTTTGCACCTTCCCTACTTCAGAAAACAAAAGAAAACTCGCCTTCCGCTCAACGCTGCCTCCAGACTTGCCACCAACCTTCATCCTCATTCTATAGTCTTTGGGGTGCCGCCAGCACAGAGGGCCTGGGGGAGGGTGACGTCCCCCTGGGGAGTAAGGGGACTGGTGGACCGGGGATCTGCCGCTCCTTATCGGCGCCTGGAGGTGATGTCAAAGCAGGTGATCATCATGAGATGGGCCTTGCAGAAGTTGACGCGGCTCTCCAGGCGCTCGGTGACGCACTCCAGGGCCTCCAGGTACTCCAGGGAATCCAGCTCCAGCACCTGCTCCAAGTCGACTGCAAAAGAGGAAGGGCCTGGAGACTCCAGCAGGCGGGAAGAGCCATCCCATCTGCTCAGCCCAGACCACAGGGCTGCCTGAATTTCCCCTCTGTCCCCAGATCTGATTTCTTCACCTGTCTCTAGTGACCTTGGTATCCCTCCTACCTAATCCTTGGCCTCTCAGCCAGTGGACTGAAACACTGGTTACCAGTTTTTAGATCTTTAACATTTTGTTGAGATTATTCTGAGAAATAAGGCAAAAATCTAGCTGCCCCCATCTCTGGCCATCTCCACCACAGCATCTGTGAAAGATGACGCCATTATTCTTCATTAACCATGAAGAATGCAGATCTTGATGCTGGTGTGGGGCAAATCCCTCCCTTGTGATCTAAAGTGGCAAATCCCTCTGCCTCCTTAGATAAAGGCTGTTTCTCCCTTATATTCCTTCATGAGCACTTTGTATCCACCTCTCGGGCTGAGAAACCTGACCTGTCTCCGGTCTTCCTAGGCAGTCTCATGAACTTGATGATCATTCAGGAAATATGATAAATAGATCTAAATTGATAGGTGAGCTTCCTTAAGCTCAGAAGATAAGCTGACACTTAGGAGCAGGATGCCTTGCCTGACGCTCAGGCCTACAGGGGGTGAAAAGTTTGAGTCCTGCAGTTCCTGAAGAGCAGGTGTCTGCGATCAACCTCACCTGGACTCAGTTTGCCTACTATATCCATGGTGGATGGGCAGAGGGGTGGGCTGCCTGGTACTAGCTCCAGAGGTGCTGCAAGGAGTCCCCATATGGGGAGGACAGCAGGGACGGCAACCAAGGCTGGTGGAGTGGCCGTGGAATCCAAAGCAGGAGACTTGCATTTGATTCCCAGCTGCTCCATACTAGCTCTGTGACCTTAAATTCTGCAGGTGCCATGTCCTTAAAAGGAACATGAGCATAATAATTCCTACCCTGCCTATCCTATCTACCTCGAGTTGTTGAGAAGAATAAAATCAAAAAGGAGATAACGAATGTGAACATGGTCTGAAAACATATGAAAACCATGTCATGCTACAGAACCATCAGGGACTGTAACGGAAGCAGACTGCTTTATACAGAGGGCATCCCTGAGAGCGAGACTGTAAGGACACTCACTCAAGGTTACAGTTAATAAGGACCACAGCTGGAGGGAGACCCAGTCTAACAGGCTGAATGCCCGTCTAATACTGAAGAAACAATACCTCACTACACCCCTAACCCCCTCAGACCTCATCACTGGACCACCTCAAAAGCAGCATCAGATCTAAAAATTAAAAATAAAAATGGACCCAGCACATCTATTTCTGTGCCAAACCCTGCTGGCCACCAACAGGAATAGTCAGCATGCAGCCTCCATAGTTTTTTATTTTTTCCCCCATTCTTATTTTCCACTCATCTTAGAAAAACAATCTGTGCTTCTCCTTTCATGTGGCCTTCTGTTCATTCTCTTTCTTAGCATCAAAAATACCTGATTCTTGACATATACGAAGGCAAGAATGAATGTCTTCAGATGTTTCTTGGAAGCATCTGAAACACAGGTGTACTGAGGTGTAAGCCTGCTCCCTTCCTGGGAGAAAATGTGCTTTGTAAGACGAGGATCATTTTCAAGCCTGCCTTGGGCATAAACAGCTCTTAAAAAATAAAATGTTAATGAAAATGTTAAATATGAAGGGACTGTGAGGGCTGGGGTTGTGGCTCAGGGGTGGAGCGCTCGTCTAGCACGCGCGAGGCCCTGGGTTCGATCCTTAGCACCACATAAAAATAAATAAAGACATTGTGTCCAACTACAACTAAAAAAATATTTTAAAAAAATGAAGGAACTGTCTGAAGGGATGCCCTGGGATCTCAAAGTGTCCAGAGATTCATGGGAAACAAAAAAAAAGAAAAGGCAGCCACAGGTGGACAGAAATAAGCACTAGGCTCCATGTTTGTGCCCTGGTCAGACATTAGCTAATGTTCTGTCTTGTCTGCCCCATAATACCTTTGATAAAAATACCTTTGAAGGAAGAACATTTCTAATAGAGGACTTCATTTCCCGTATCATGTCTGCAGGCACAGGCTGTATTTGTGGGACTGTGGGCCTAGCCACAGATGCTGCATCCCCAAAGCAAAGGATGCTTTCTGTATTGGATGGTCACGAGAACCCACTGAGGTACTCGGGGGACATGGTACTACTCCATTTATATGGAAAAGAAACCTGTCACAAGTGGCAGGCGCTGGGAAGAGCCGGGCATCTGACAAACCTTGGCACTTTCTTTTTCACCCAGAATCATTTTACCCAATATTTAAAAAAAACCAGCTTCTCTGGCACACAAATCTAAGCCTCAGACCTCACTCGTGGGCTCTCCTCGCTGCCATGGAACACTGGGAGAGGGGGACATGCAGGGGAGGGGTGTGTTGAGAGGGGACAGAGGCAGCTGAGGGCTGGAGAAAAGAGCCAGATGGGAAACAGGGAGAGAATTTTAATGACAGTAGCATATTTTATCCCCCAGATTGTGGGATTGCTTCCCACATCAATGTAGTAGTTGGGACCAGATTTAAGTTTTATTTCGCACTAAATGGAATGGTTAGGAACAAATAAATAAGAGACAATTGAATCCGCCTCTCAAAGAGAACAAAATTGCTCTGAATCATTATTAGATGGTTACTGTCATCTGGGGCTTTCTATTAAATGGAAATAACACCAGGCTGCTCCTCTTGCTTTCTGGGTCCTCCGTGAGGCTTTACTATGGTCGTACATTCTACCCTATCAAGAGCTCTATAAATTCATGTCTATTTCAGGCTAGATAAGCAGTGTGATTTTGTGGCCTAGGAAATTTGTAATACAGCCTTCATGTCTGGGTGATCTGCCACATGCAGGGGGGGAAAATCTCATTTTCAAGTGCTTTGGACTGAAACACATAAGAAATAATCTCGCAAGAGCAATATTCGCCGCTCCTTTGCTGTTCCCAGCCCCTCCCACCTGCCCCAGGAGAGTAGGATTGTTCACTCAGAGCAACCGTCTCCATCTGCCCCTAGATGAAGTGTGCCGAGGTCACCCTGGGTTAGGTGCCAGGCCTCTGTCACTGGGGAACCTGTTAGCCACCGTGACAGAAATGAACCATGGGCCTTACATTCACGGAGCCACTTGTTGGGGTCCAGCATCAGGTACTGTTTGGTCATCTCCAGCTCCTTCATCAGCCACTCGTACTTGGCTCTGACCTCTGCGATCCTCTGCTGGCGATGCTCCAGAATTTTCAGTTTTGCGTTAAAGCACATGACCTCCTGCACAGCGACGGAGAAGGAGAGGGGCAGTGTAGAGAAAAGAAAAGAGATCCTTCTGCTCCTGTCCAGTCCACATGACCTCTTCTAGAGAGGAACACTTCTAAAGACCGTCCATGAGAAAGGAGCTGGTCCCTGGGAAGTCTGGGAGGGACTTCAGAGACCTCAGTGGGATTTCTTCCTTGATAAACCAGACAGCTCAGCCATGGGGGAGACTGTCGCAGGCTGTTCTTAAATGTAGAAAGCAGATGGTGTTCCAACTGGGCAAATGCTGGTCTGCATGAGTATGAAACCTCAAGACAAGGAGCCAGACCACTGTGTCCCCCAGCATGTGAGTCTTTAAGGCATTTCAGGAGAGGACACAGAGTTCCCTCCAAAGTGTCTATCCCACTTTATGGGCCCACTGTCACCCACCTGCCCACAACAGAAGCAGGTCCCTTCTCAGGGCAGGACCCATGGGTAACCGCCCCCACTCCAGGAAATGGACTCACTTTGCTGGCGCCACCACGTCGCCGCTGCAGGCGCTCCACATCGTCGATTTCATAGACCTTGATCTCAAAGGGTTCCCCGAGGCCCCTCTGGGTGCTCCGCAAGGGGCCATCCACCCAGCGGACCCCTGTGCTGGTGGTGGGTTTTCTCACAGGGGAGGAGGTATCGAGGGACAATGCTGGGATAAGCCTCCGTCTCTGAGAACCTAGGGAGAGGAATAAGCCACGTTTGATCCTTTTGCACTTCAAATTTTGATATCTTTCTTTGATGCAAGGAATGGGGTCATGGCAGGACCCTGTGGTCACCTGCAGAGCTGCACTGAAATGTTCTGACCTCTCACCCCTGACCCCAGCACTCACTCCAAGGGCTTCACCTGGAGAAACCCAGAAAAATCCCTGCTCTGCTCTTAGAACCCCCAACGTGCAGCCTAGAACTGTGAAGTGCCCTGGTGTGTGCTCGGCACGGGGACATGTGCCAAAAAGAAATGAAAGATACATCCATGTTAGGGAAAAAAGGTCCCAGTGTTTGATAGTGTGGTTATAGGATTTCCAGAAAATACTGTGTATTTGTTTATAACAACAGCACTACAGTAAGCACAGACTGCATGCCAGACACTAGTCACCATGCTTGACGCACTATGACAGACTACTAGCTGACCCCCAATATCTGTCCTCTTTTGTGTGTGTGTGGTTCTGGGGATTGAACCCAGGGCATTGCATATGCTATGCAACTCTCCACCACTGAGCTATCTGTGCAGCACCATCTTCCTTTTCTTCCTCAGCAAGAGACACCCCGATTTCAGCAGGGCACATAGTCAAATCCAGTGGAGAACATACCCTGGCATGTTTTTGACCAATGGGACATAAGTAGAAGTGGTATGTATAGCTGCTAAAAAGAATCAGCAGAAAGAAGAAAAGCAAGACAGGTATCCTAGTCTCCCAGCACCCTGGAGACTACCACATGACACTAAATCTCTATATTGCTGTAGGGGGTTTTCTGTCCTAGACAAACCTAGTCCTAACCAATATATACACAGTATCTCATTTAATTCTCTCAAAAGAGGAAACTAAGGTATAAAGATCATTAGTAGCTTACCCAAGACCTCGGTGTTTCTTTGTTGAAAAAAAAATCCATTGCGGTCTCTCTCTCTCCCTCTCATACACACACACACACACACACAAACTAACAAAATCATGTAGCAAATGATTTCTCCAAAGGATGTTATGGTTTGGATCATAAATGCACCCCAAAGGCCATGAGTGATAGGTTTGGTCCTCAGCAGGTTATACTATTGGACATGGTAAAACTTTTAGGAGGTGGGACCTAGTGAGAGAAAATTAGGTCACTGGGCATGTGCATTTAAAGGGGATGTTGGAACCTCAGTCCCTTTGCCCTCTCCCTTTCTTTGCTTCCTGGCCCACATGAGGTGATAGCTTTGATCCACCACTGGCTCCCACCAGGCTGTGGTGCCTTGCCACAGGCCCAAAGCAACAGGGTCAAACTCTGAAGCCATGAGCCAAAATACATCTTTCCTCCCTTTTTACGTTATTTATTTCAGGTATTTTATCATAGCAATGTAAAGCTGACTGACAAGATGTGTTGGGACTAAATACCACAGGATTTGGTACATATGAGCCAAAATGAGCATTTGAGAGGAGATGCTCATTGAAGATAAAGATCCTTTTGATTGCCTGTCTTCAGATCACTCATGTCTATTTGTGGAGACGGAAAACACACAAGAAGTGACTTGGGAATGGTGTACAGAGATGATCAGTTCCTTTGTGTCCTTAGGGGCAGGTCTCTAAAGAGAAATAACAAGCACTTGGACAGCAGGGCCCAGAGGCCCCTTTGACCCAAGCATCATCTTCCTGATGACCAGTGTCATAAGTGAGTGAGCTGTGGCCTCCTGGCCTTCTGAGCTCAGGGCCTGATATTTTCACCCATGTATGAAAGGGAACTTGCCTCTTGCTTTGAGAAACTAGAGGGTTTGATCCATTTCCCTGGTTTCTCTGCCTGTGGGAGGTTTAGGTGTCTCTGGACCTGACTCCCCGGAAGGAAGCTGAACCTGTTAAAGGCTGGGCTGTGACCCTGAGTACTCCTTCAGAAAGGGACAGGCACATCAGTGGCTCTCTCCTGGGCAGGAGGGTGATGGGAAAGCTGACGTAATCCCAACAGGTTCATCCTGAGGCTGAAGAGGGCCTGATCCACTGTGGCTCTGAATTTCTGACTCCCCCGGCCCCAGGATGACTAAAGAAGGTAAAGTTTGCCTGAAGCCTTTGTAGCTGCTCCTCAGGGTAGAATGGATACAGTGCCCCATACAAAGTCAAATTTGAGAAAAAATGAGAATGAGAGAGTGTGAAGTGCTAGCAATCTGAAGGCTGCGAGGCCTGGCAGTTTTCCTGAGGACCTGGAGATGCCCATATGTGTCAGTGAACCAGGGTAGCTGGAGGCCGTCATGTGAGGTTACAGCAACCAGACACTTGACCTTGGACTTGCCAGTCTCCAGAAGGGTGGGAAGTGGACTTCTATTGTTAATAAATTACCCAGTCTAAGAAGCTTTGTTACAGCAGCAGGAAGGGACCCAGGCACGTGGGAATGCCTCCATTTCTTCCCCCTGCCCTGCTCTTCTCTGGGATAGCAGAGATGGTTCTGAATAAACTTCTATTCCCACAAATTATGAGATAAAATTGATATTCCAAAGATTAATAATAAATAAAAGAGGTCATGTTTAAAACAAGATGGAGAGAAAAAAACAAAAACAAAAACAAAGAGGGAGGCCTCTGGGGAAGGGGAAGACCTCAGACCAAGGCCTGGGCCACTGTGCCTGTTCAGGGTTGATACTCGTGCACCTTGAGCCAGTTTAGATGGGGACTCACTTGCCTAGAGCCAATGCAGGTGAGGAATTGCTCTCCTTGACCATGTGTAGGCAGAGATTCTCCCCTTGAGCCATTGTAGACTTGATTCCATTTGGGCAGATTGCTTTGGCCAGAAAGTATCCCTTTCCCAGTCTTTAGGCCCCTCCCTGCGGTGTGTGGAGAGGTTGGGTGGTAGCTGTTGGAGAAAACACCTCTGGAAAGGCATTGGAGATTCCAGAGTGTTCTGTAGCATCATCCCCATAATCCCATGTTCAGGGAAGTGAGAGGGGGCCTAGTGGGCAGAGGTGGGCCTGCCTGCAGCAGTGGCTGGGTGCTTCATCACATGCCATGTAGCCTCTGTACTTGGATCCTGCTAGAGGTCCTAGGGAGAGAGCACATGGGCTTCAGGAACTGGAGATGTTAAACCATCTCAGGGTTGCTACTGACATCATAGCCAAGTGCACCCATGTGGAATTGCTCTTTTCTTTGGGTTCCAGGGACACTGAAGTTTGTAAAGTGGAGTGAGCCCAAATAAAGAGTTAGAAACCCTCAGGTCAGTTGTAGGGAGAGTGGGATGGATGTTTGGGTCAGCGCGACTCCACAACTCAGAGGAGTTTATGGGTAGCATTCCAGAAAGCCAGAAGTGACAAACATCTTCACAGACTCTGAACAGAAGCAGGTCTCAGTGATCAGTAAGAGCAAGACGGCGGCCCTGAGGGCCACCATGCGTAGGGTGCTGGGAAGCCCCATGGAAGTGAACCTGAAGATGGATCCACAGTGTTTGCTCCAAGCAAACAATGGAGAGAAGAAAGTTTGTTGTTATTTTTAACGAATACAGCTTCAGGAACTAGGAGATGGTCTAGGGTTAATGTCATCAGGGATCCAAAATGAGAGGATAGAGTATGCCACAGAAAGCAATTAGGACTTGATTTTCCAAATGTGGTGAAATACATGAATCTACAGACTTAACCAGCTTAGCAAACTTCAGTAGGAGAAACCCAAAGTCCATGCCCGGACACGTGGATCACTTACAAACCAGGGATTAAGGAAAATACTTGAAGTCAACCAGAAGAAAACAATACCGTATTGGCAAACATGGAACCATTTAAAGGACTGTGGAATTCTTATCAGAAATTAGGTAAGACAGAAGGCAGCGAAGCAACATTTTTTAACAAAGGATAAACATAGGTAAACCAAAATCTCATATATCTTCAGAAAGGAAGGAAAAATAATTATATCTTCATATAAAACAAAGCTAAGAGCCAGCTGACTTGTTAACAAAAATAACTGGTGGTTCTTCAGACAGACAGAAAATGATGCTGGAAGGAACTTGGGCATCAGGGATAAAGAGAAAAATAAAAAACAAATAACAAATATGTAGGTAAATAGAAGATGTTATTTTTCTCTTTTTGAGCTCTTTAAGATATGTTTTGACCATTGAAAGGAAAAACTGAGAACATATCTGGAGCTGAACAAAAATTAAAATACATCATATCAAAGTTTGTGCATGCAATGAAAACATTGCTTAGAGATTCATAGCATCAAATGCTTATGTTAGACAAATAGAAAGTTCTCAAATCCATAATCTAAGCTTCTACTTTCAGAAACAGAAAATGATGATCAAAATAAACCCAAAACCAGCACAAGGAGAAAAAAAATAAACATGAAGACTAATATCAGCGACACTCTACAAACCTGTACAATGTGAATGAAATGGACGATTCTGGAGAAGCAGGAGTTACCATAAGAACATGGACATTTAGATGGCTGGTTCCTCATAGGAAGAGCTCCTAAAAGATCTTCAGGTGTACATGATATCACTGGAGAATTCTACCACATTGGAAGAAGCATTAATATCAACTGTATACAAAGATTTCCAGGAAGTAGAAGAATGGGGAACAATTCACAATGTATTTCATGAAGCAGGTTTTATGGGGCCATGAAACTAGAAAAGATGGTGCCAGAATAAAACCATGAAAGAAACCCCAAACCGACAGACCCAAGTCCATTGTGAATATAGATACAAATATTTCTACATCAGGCACTTTATGGACAAGCCGAGAAAGACAACATGATGGTATGGATTGACGTAGAATAATTATACAACCAAAGTCAACACCTATCGCTACAAACTCTCAAATAGGTAGGACCAGGGAGTGTTATGGGTTGAATCATATTCCTCAGAGACATGTGTAGGTTCAAAACTCCATACCTTGCAGAAGTGGCATTATTATGATGAAATTACCTATGATGGGGTCATAAGGGGCTAGGGTGTTCAATACCATAGAATACAGTTGGGGTTTTCTGCTACATTATTCTCTTGCAATTTGTAGAAAACAAAAGTGGCACT